TATCACACAAAAAAATCCCTGTTTTACTATTTTTACAAACATTGTTCCTTTATCTACTCCACAGAATAAGGGTAGTAACAGAAACTGGTGTTTTATAAAACGTCTGGGCTGTAATTTGTAGCGGTTAAATACTGAAACAACTATTTCAAAAGTAAAGCAAATTAATGTGGCAAGAGATACAGTTAGCAGCCATTACGTGTACATCAGCTTTAAAGAGGCAATTTGTGTTCATAACTTTATCATGTAATGCAGCATAATCTCATCACTGTGACATTAAATTATATTGCATTTTATTAATGACCTGATTAAAACCATACTTCCCCAATTGTTAAATTGAGGGTTTTTTATTAACAGTATTATGATTGCATAGAATCCTTTGAGACCTGTGTATAGATGATGCTTTTATTTACAATCCTTAAACTTCAAAAAGAATCACAGATTTTTTTGAAGGTATTTCTACATAGATATGATTTGTTGTAATTTGAAGACAAACCAACTCTTGTACTATAAAAAAAAAGGGGGGAGAAGCTCTGAATATACTTTTGGAAGCTAAATTTTTTGTAGTCTTTATTTAAAAATTTTTAAAATTATCTAGATGCCGCAGTATTCAAATCTGCCTCTTATTTTACAACTTTAGATGCATTTTCATTAAAACACACATATTAAAAACGACATGCTCAGAAAGACAATCACACAGATGATCGTAAAGTAGTGTTTGGTATTAACATGGTCATGATATCTGTGGAGCAGCCCAACAATTGACACGTCGCTGGTGTAAGAACTCTAGGAAGCAACAATCCTCCCACACAAGCAGGAGAGACAGTTTATACAGTTTGAGAGAGTTCTCATATAATTTCATTCTACTCAAAATAATGGATAATTTACAGATATATTCTCCAGTTAAAAATCACAGGCAAAGTAGTTATTCAACAAGCTGCCTCGTCCAGCCACCTGTAACTAAAATGAGAGATTTTTCTACTCTATAGTGGCACTTCTATAAATCTAGAGTGCTGTTACCTCCATACTGGTATTTATTCTTACATGGTTCTCTGGAAATCTTGTCTGCTTGCGGGTTTTATTTTGTCTCCATTCTCCAGCACCCACTCTGTGAGGCATCCAGGGATGTCCCAAGCTGGATACACTGGGTTTGTGTGTGGTGTCTGACCCCCGGCCTCCAGTGCGGTTCCTCTCCTTGCAGGTAAACAGGTGATTCACCCTAACCAGATCGCGGTGGTGCAAGAGCAGTTCACTCCGACCCTGGAAAAGATTCAGTGGGCTGAGGAGCTGATCGCTGCCTTCAAAGAGCACCAGCAGCTGGGAAAGGTAAGTGGTTTGTCAGTGCCTCGGGGATGCTGGAGTTTAAAATACCGTGGGCCAGGATGAGGGACAGTAGTACCTTCTGAACGCTTAAGGAAAAGTCATTGTGTGTGGCAGAAGAAAGGGGAAACATGGGATGGAAATAAGGTTTGTCATTGAGAAAAATCCCTGAAGGCAGATACTCATCTCTTTCCCTAAATATCTCACTAATCTGTATCCTGTCTGTAAGCTGTGTTGGCAGCCTTAGAAAAAGTTAAGTCTTGTTAGTCCCTCCTGCACAGTCTTCCGAGCAGCGCTTGTATGAAAATATGAAAATAATTTCAGACCAAGGTGAGAGTGCATTGTAACAAAATAAACACAGTTTGGCCACATGGCTCTGGTAGAGAAAAGAAGTAAATTTCACGTTATTATAATTGGGGGGGGGGCTAGAGAAAAGAAGTACTGCCATCTCCTCAGGTTTAGTCATTTAGGATGGGAGGGTGTAGATGAATTTGTACCGATTTCTGGACCTGAGGTTTGGAAAGAATGGAAGGCAAATTAACACTGAGTGCGGTTGTTCTAATTTAGTGCTTCATTGAGCCTGCGTTTCCCGCTCTGTGGGTTTCTGCTATGTAAATATTGCGGTGGTAATGCGCAATCTGTCCCCACTTTGTGCCAGTAACACTTAAATTAGGTGTCGCCTGAAGGAAGGTTTTATGCTAGTTGCAGCATTGTCGGTTAATTATCTTAAAGGTTATTTGCAATAATACCGTTTGCCTCTTTTTCAGAGGGATTGGGGGGGTGCATTTATAAAACTATCCTAGAGATAATCTAACCTCTCACCTCAGCCCAAGCCTTTTGTAAGGAATGGCATTGTCTTGCCTCCCATACTGAATTACTTAGGAGAGAAAGTGCCGAAAGTCCTGAGTGTTAGACACTCACTCTCGTGAAGATAAATAAATAAATAGAAAGGCAGCAGAGGAGAAACAAAAGCTGGTTTTCAGCGGTGGACCTGTGACGGTCATGTGAGAAATGTCCTTCGCACATTCCCTGGCACCAAGGACACCTGAACATCACAACACTTGTTCAAGTGGGTAACTATTAAGTAGGTCGTTCCTTATAGATGTCTGCCTTCAACCATGAACAGGCATATGCCCGCCCCACCCCTCACACACACACACACACACACACACACACACACACTCATTCGTACAGATTCACACTTAATATACAAAGCCTGAAGTTCTAGGACCTAGGATCTAGGAACAATCCCACTTGGACTTTACACCAATTTTATGATAAGTAGCATTTTTTAAAATTTCATATCAGTGATGGTCATCAAAGATATTCTGCATTTCACAGAAAAATTAATATTAAATTGGCATCATCCTTTATTTCTGTTTATACATTTCAACCCAAAATGAGGCTTGCCTGGAAATGAGCATATTTACATAGAAAGAAAATCCTTGTACTTCTTCGTTGACACATACAAACCACATCCCTCCCACACATCTGCCCGTACACACACACACACACACACACACACACACACACACAATGTGTGCCTTTTCCCTAAAGTTCTGCCTCATGCCAGCTAGCAATGTGCAAGCGATCACTTATTGAAATGGGAAACTGAGGCAGAGCGTGTTTCCTTGAGATGGCACACAGATCCAGTGTGGGCTGGCTCTGCCTCAATGATCTGCTTCATCTGAACCCTACTGAAAGTAGGTGCCTGGCCTTGCAAGCAGAGGGGAACAGTTTTCCTCCATTTCACTAGCTCCCAAACAAACATCCGACCAGAAACCCCCCTTTCCTTCCAGTTAGGTTCCCAAATGAAGACGGCATTATATTTTGAAAATATTATTCCTTAGGGAAAATTGCCCAAGACTTTGATAATGGTGATGTAAATGTTAAGTTCTGGGCTGTTTTCTTTTCATTCTCCAAATAAGTAGTGGCCCTCTTGTTGGGGTATAATTGGGGCATAAGCTTTCACAAAAGTGTGGCAGGCCAGCTTTTCTTAACACAGAGCCATAGAAATTGGAGCAGAGGGCTTTACCTATTAGGTCATTTCTTCCCTGTCCACTTTGTGGAGGGTTGTTTCCTACAGCAAATGGGCCTGGTGCTTTTTGTCCAGCGAGGTTTAAATGACTCAAGTAATGGAGCCTCCAGTAGGGACATATGGTTATTTTATCCAGTTAGCACGATCCTTTCACCGTGCCTGTAAACCGACTGGCCTCAAACACAGGGATTGCAGGTAGGCGCCTCTGGATCTTGACGGGTTCTTGCGGATTAAATAGTGTGGGTTCTTTTGGCAGAGATCTTAGATAAATAAGCACCCAGCTGTAGGAAATACCACCTCCAACAAACATCTAATCTGTTTTAGTTCAAATGTGTGCCATTTATGAAAAATATGAACCCCCGGATATTCTGTCCAAAGCACAGATGACTCCCAAGGATGGGAAATAGATGGCTTGCATCCTGGTGAGGTGCTCATGAATTTCCCTGAGGCCTTGTCCCTCTCCTCTGATGAAAATTTCATTTAATTAATTCCTCTAAGGAGAAACGGTCCAAGGTAGTTTTGCCTCTTCTCCCACCCCTGGCCTTCAATTACGTCCTTTCTGCTTGGAGACCGATGCGTGGCTGGGGTTGGCAGTTAATACCAGGTCATTTATGTTTTCTTCCTGTCTCTAAATGGCAGCCATCACAGGACAGCTATGTCCTGGGCAGGTGAGTTGTTGGGGCTCAGGCTTTGACCACTCAGGGTCCTTTTCTGTTAGAAGTTCCGTTGAAATCAACTCTCATGCGTTTAGTGTGAGAACATGGGGGAAAACAATTTACCTTAGAAACATAATGATACTTCACCCACCTCGTCTCTTAGTGTTCAACACTAAGTACCCTTACCTGACAGAGCCCGCCTGGTCATAAGATCGGGAGCAAGAGACTGATATTTGGAACCGTAGCTTGGTCTCTCTTACTCGGATCTGTTAGGAAAAGCTCTTTCAGCATACGCTCTATTCCTGTTTTAATTCTCAGGAAGTAAAATATTTGTCATTTAACTGACGTGTTCACCTCCATTATTAACCAAACAGATGCCCCCTTCCTTCCAGAAAAATGCATTCTGAGAGACAACTGCATGTTAGTTCTTCTGGCAATTATCTGGTAAAATACTTCATCTCTGATAAATCATTTTCATATGATTTGCTTGGAATGTATAAAGGATTTTCTTTAAAATTATTCTCTTTTCATATATATATTCAATCTTTTTTATCAAATGTTTATATAAAACCAATCACTTTTTCATAGTGATGATTTTTAGAAGATCTGGAAATTCTCCATTCAGAGCTGGAGTTAGTGTTGGCTTCGCGAAGAAACATGGTTTTCTTGTTTTTTGTTTTTAATCCAGTAAGAATTTTACATAATGTGAAAACTGGATAATTACAGTGGAAACTTCTCAAATCCCTTAGTTATTGTTGAGATTTCAGAAGCTTTTAATTACACAGAATTAGGTACCCATCACATATGTATTCATGAAATATATAAAAGTGTATTTGACCCTGCATGGTTTTTTTTTCCATCTGTATTATAATGTTGCTGCTAAGTCTTTCTTCTCATTCATTGCTTACTAGACAAAAATGACAGGTCGAAGAAACAGCCCATTGCTTTTCTGAAATGATCCCCGACCAAAGGAAATCTTTTGAGCTTGTAGAAATATGGGATGCTTCAGGAATTTGCCTGTCCTCCTTGCTCAAGGGCAATGATAATCTCTGTATCTTTACAATTTTAGTATGCGTACTGCCAGAGCAAGTACAGTCAAAAGAAACCTTAGCATAAGAGTTGCCACTTCTTTCCAGTGTGAAAACGGACAGAGGACTAGAAAACACATGCATGGTACTTAGGATGAGCTTTTGAGGTTCTCTGTTAGAATAGACAAATTCTTGCGGTGTCTGGCTGCAACCTGGGTTTGATTCAGTTTTCCAGGCGATCCCTCTTTAATCCCATCATGGCCCTGAGTGCATCAGGTCAGCTTGGAAGGATTTTGTTTGAACGTTTTTAGCAGTCTTCATTCATGACAGCGTCTAAGCACCAAGGGAGGGGGAACTCTCATTCACGATCTAGATCCCATTAACAATTTTAAAGGTCAAAGGCGAGGTCAGCAGTGACGTGAGGATTGTAAATATGACACAGAACTGAAACATTCCTGTTTCTCTCAGAAAGGTGCCGTAGTGCAGACTCTTGAGCTGACATTCATAAACACTTCCTATGCGGGGATATCAGTTACAAGAACTCTCTTATTAGAGCAGAAAGGAGAAGTGGGTTGGTTCCTTTCCATCTCAAAAGCAGCCAGCTGCACCAAATCATCCCCTCCCAACTACAGAAAGCAAGTGCCTCCCTTAGGTACCACCGCAGCATCTTTCCTTGATGCTTCCGAATGCGGAGCTTTACAAAAGAAATATCGTCCCATCCGGATGGCTCTCTTGAAGGCGCCCCGAAAGAATTCGGGAGAAATCCCTCCACCCAAAAATACAGTTCCTGCTTGTCCAAGTGCCAGAAAGCTCACTGCCACTCTTTCACACAGATCAAATAAACCATCTAAAGATTGCCTTGTTGTCTTTGTCGGCTGAAAGAACGGAACCGCTAATAGATGACAGTGTGTCCCCAACCCCATCCCCGCCCAGCCGCCCATCCCACCACCCACAGCCTCTCCCGTCCATTTCTGAACAACAATCCGAGTAGTGCCCGGCGAATCCAGGTCCAAATGAAAGATGGGGCGGAAACCTACTCCTGCGATTCCCGGTAACTGCTTTTTCCCTTTGTGCCCCTGTTCGTTTAGAGTTTCCAGAGCTATATGCCGTAATATCCACTCCAAAAAGCCCAGCCCTAGGAAATCTGAGTGTACCAATGGCTTGCGGCAAATTTGATACACACTAAGTTACAATTAAAAAAAGAAAAACATTTAAACCACCGTAGTGGAATTCCCATGCTGCTCCTAACGCGCCTTGTTTTTAGAGGCAAAGGGCCAGTCCAACATTAAGGGATAGGAGCATTTTTATTTTGTTAGTTTTGGTTTGTTTTCATTTTCATTTTTCATAGGTTGTCTGGTAACTTTAACTTGTTGACTTCATCTTTAATATGATTTGTTAAAGCCAATTCTTAAAGGTAGTATAATCCAAATAGCTTTACTCTGTATTTATATCTCCCTGCATCTGAACACTTTCTTAAATATATCTCATAGTCAGATCTGTTTGGAAGTCACTCATATCCAAGCTGTGACCACCGTTCTTCAATAAAATAGTGCAAATATGCTTTTTTATGGGTAACAGTGAACACTCGCACGAATGCCAGAGTGGACATGATGTGTGTGTGTGTGTGTGTGTGTGTGTGTGTGTGTGCATGCTATGTGTGGGTATTGTGCTGCTGTGCACACTGGTGTACGCACGTGTAGAGGTCAGAGGTCAGTACCAGGCATTGTCCTCTCATTCTCTACCTTAGTTTTTGAGAGGTCTTCTCTCACTGAGCCTGGAGTTTGCCCTTTTGCTAGACTAGCTGACCAGCAGATCCCCTCCCCAACACCTGTCCTCACAGCTCTATCTCCCCAGCCCTGGGGATACCACAGCTCACGGCACCCAGTTTTTACATGGGTGCTCGGGGTCTGGATTCAGTTCCTCATACTTGTGCACTGAGCCTTCCCCTGAGTCTCCTCAGCCCCCAGATAGACTCTTAAAAGGATTCATAGGGGCAGTTCAGAATTCTGCACAGACAAGCGTCTTCTGATCTTGAACAAGAACCAACAAGGAAGGAAGAAATGGACTGCAGGTGTTTACCCCAGTCTCCTGCCATCAGATCTCACATGGCCCTGCCACTTTCCTCCCAGTCCTGTCCTGACCCTGTCCATCCACCCTGCCCTGGAAGGGCTTTTGATTGACTCAGTTTACTCTAACCTGTTCCATATGCCCAGGGTAGATCGGAGAGGGTCAGAGGAAGGCTGGAGAAGCCTCGTGCCACACTCCCAGCGAGGATACACAGGGCCAGGACAGGACCGTTTTGTTCCCTGAGCGTCTGCCCGCTTTCTCCCTCTTGGACTCTAGGTCTGTAGTTGTGTCTGTGTGGTCTTCGCCCTTCCTCTCATCACTGCCTGTCCTCACGTTCTCCTTTGTTTTAATCTTACTTCATGCCTCACCCCTTTGTCTGCACACAGCATCATTGTCTCAATCTTTTAACTGATAACAGAAGGAAAGGCCAAGGAATTCTCTAAACTATTGGTGGTTTTAGGTTTACTTTTTATTGTGTGTGTGAGCTCAGTACCCACAAGGGTTAGAGGTTTCAGGTACCCTGGGGCTGGAGTTACAGGTACTTGTGAGCTGCCTGGTGGGACCCTGGAAGCCAGACTTGGTCCTCTGCAAGAGCACTTAAGGGGTCTTAGCTGACGTGCCATCTCTCCAGCCCTGGTTGTTGGTGTTTTATGATGGTATTTTGTTGTTCTTGTTTCTGTTAAAAGCTAGCAAATGATATTTTATTTTAGTAAAAATCTAAATCAAGCATTTCCAGAATTCTCTGTCTTTTCTACTTTAGTAGGACTTGAGGGAGGAAACATGGAACTGTCTCACCATCCTAGAGAACCAAGAATTCTGTCTACCACCTCCATGTCTCCCTATAGCATGCTAGACAGAAACGGGCGCTTAAAACACTATTGAACCAACTTCTTACAATTTTTAACTGTGCTGAAAATAAATTGCTGGGGTTTTGTTTTTGCCTTTGAGACAGGGCTTTTCTGTGTATCCCCATCTGACCTAGACCTCACTATGAAGAGCAGGATGGTTTCAAACTCAAGTGATCCCCTGAATATTGATGTGGCCACCACAGTATCCACAATATTGACTTCTTGTGGTCTTCTAGAAAAATTAAAAGATGATTTCCCCATCTGCAGTACTTTAAGAAAAAAAGCATTAGTATTCTAATAATCTTAAATTATTTTTTAGTTCATGGTAGCCCATTTACATCAGATTTCAAAAAGAGAATAAACCTAGGACCTTAACATTATTGATCTTACCCAAACATTGGGGTAATGTGGCATTTACTATCTGGGATCAGCAACTGTGGATTATGTTTGACACGAAGTATGTTTGGGTGATCACCTGGTTACTCACTAATTAGCGGAGGAAGACCCTGAACTTTGGTCCTCCTGCCTCCACTCCAGAGTGCTGGGAGAGGGGCTTACCAGCGCCCCTGAGCCTCGGGTCATGCTCACCTCAGCTCCCCTGCTCATTGGCTTCAACCGTTCTGACCTAGCGCCTTCCAAAGCCACCTTCCAGAACCCTTACTTCTCTGACTTCCTAACCTGCCAGTGAAGCCCCGAGTTGATCTTACCCAGGATGTCACGTAGATTTTTTTCATTTTCTGCACGGGGTGAGAACTGAGTAATTTCACGCTTCTCCTTTACAAAACTAACTGCGAGCACTCTCCGTCCACTCGTTCCCTGCCCATTCCCCTCCAGATTCTTAGGATTTGGCTCATTTTGACCGTTGGCCATTTTTCTGATTCTGGGAATCGATGAGCATTTTCTCTACCTTTCTAAATTCTTGTAAATCTGTCTTCCAGCTGATGCTCTGTCAGAGAGTAGTCTTCCTGAATCTAGTTTCTTTTCTTTCTTTTTTTTTAAAGATATATTTATTTTATGCAATGGGTGGTTTGCTTGCTTCTATGTTTGCCCACCAGAAGAGTGATTTGGGTTCCATGATCCTACAGATGCAGACAGCTGTGAACTGCCATGTGGGTACTGGGAATTGATCCCAGGATCTCTGAGAGAGAGCAGCCAGTGCTCTTAAGCCCTGAGTCATATCACTGACAGAGAGCCTGTAAGGCCATTGTAGGCTTTCTTTCATCTTTACAACCTTATGGGCACGATTTAGAGATGAAGACTCGAGTCTGGTATGGTTCCTGCGTTTGTGGGAGATCATTCACAGAGACCAGACACCTGTGGATTCAAGTGTACATATGGCCAAACCTCTACAACAAGTGGCCTTAAGGGAACCCCCAGAAAATCACATCCTTTTCCCTGTGAGTGACAGCAGCAGGCTAAGGATTACCACTGGAATGTGTCCACCATGGATCATGTCCTCTCTCTGTTTGGGGATAGCCCCTGGAGGGGTTCTGTGGTACACATGCCCAGTACTCTGGAAAGCCAGGTCTGCCTAGAGCTGCATAGAGATCACATAAAAGCCTGTGTTCTGTTCCACATCTGTGGTTCTTTGCTATGAATTTTGAAAGCCATGGAGCTATAGAGAAGGAATGAAAAGGCTGGGGGGAGGGGCTTCTCCAGGCTTTAACTTGGAAAACTGTGGGAGCTGGGCTCTTAAAGCTTCTCTGAGCCTGGCTTCCCAAAGTGCTCAGCAAGTTGTCATCACCCAGGTTCTCCTGCATTCCCAGTAGGGAGCACAGATGACCTTCTTCAGATCTGTTATACTCTTAGGACCATTTAAATGGCTTGCCTATCAGTGGCTGGGTGGAAGGTCACAATTACACACAAACTCACTCTCTCTCTCTCTCTCTCACACACACACACACACATACACATGCACTCACAGTAATAAGTAAGATTTAAAATTAAAATTAAAACTTGAAATGATGCCTTCATCACATTGCAAATGAGAAATGACTTGAAAACAGCACTGAGGGAGTTGAAGCAGAAGTTTGCTCTGGATCTGAGGCCAACGTGGTAAACGTAGCAAGACTTTGTCTCAAATACAGAAAACATTTTGTAAAAGCATAAAAATACCAGCAACTTGGTCTGGTGACACATCCCTTCCATCC